AATGGCGGAATCTTGACTGTATTTTGGAAATTAAAGTTGGCAAGATTTGAGACAGATCAGATGAGAGATGTAAAGAAAGTGATAAAAATGAGGGTCATTTCTACTTTTTTAGCCCAAGAAACTTGGTGGGGGTGACATCACCAACCAAGATAAGCTGTGGGAACATCGAGAGTTTTATTTTGGATACACTAAATTTGAGATGTCTCATAGATAGCTGAGAGACCATGTCAAGTAGGCAGTTGGATAGATGAATCTAGAGCCCCAGGGAGTGTTGAGAGCTGGCGCTGGAGATTTATGAATCATCAGTACAGAAATGTTGTTTTAAGCCGTAGAAGAGAATGAGGTCACTTAGGAAAGGAATTTAGAGAGAAAAGAGGGTGAGGGACAGAGTTCAGGGTTAGCAGGGAAAGAAGACAAGCCTGAAATGAAATCTAAGAAAGATCAAGGTCCGGGCTGGAGGAAAATCAGGAGTGAGCAATGTTCAGAAACCAAGTACAGATGTTTCTGGAAAAAGAAAGCTACATACTGAAAACTGATGTATGTCCTGTCCCACTTCTTGCTTTGTATTTCTCCCAAATTCTTGCAATACCATACACCTCTCCTTAGCATGTGATCTTACTGGAAAAGAGGTTACAGAACAGCAACTGTTTGGCTATTTTTCCCTTTTGTTTTGCTGTATTAAGTGGATGAAATGGGATCTGAGGGATCAGAAGAGTCTTGGGTCTTGGGCCTATGCTTCAACCCTGGCAGTTTTCTTGGTAAGAATGCTCCCTAGCTGCAGAAGGTGCGAAGCTCCCTTAACCTCACTTAGGAACCTTAGTTCCTCCCTTTGTTTTCTGGGGATGACAGTGTTCATGTTATAGATTTGTCATGTGTATTAATGTGGGGTCTACAAAGCACTAAGCTCAGGGCCGGGCAGAAGGAAAGGAGACCACACATGGTAACCTGTGTTCTTCTTTCCGTGCTTCACTGGCTATGAAAATAGATCACTATCAAGTAATCCTGCAAAGCTTTTTGTTGGTTGATTGTTTAAAAGTGCATTAGAGAAATATCTACATACTACTAGTATAGGACAGAAGCCAAGCACTCGACTTTGAAACAAATACCCCTTTATCATCCCTACTCCCTCTGCCAAATAGTTTATAGAGGTCTCATCTCCTTCAGAGCCAGCATTCATGAACCTGAAATAAATGCTGTTTTAAGAGAAGGCATATAAGTGGGAGAAACATACTTCAGTGCTTCTCTAGTGAAGAATTAGTCGGTCCTGTCTTGGAGGCTGGATTATCAGGCTGCCAGTGAGCAGATAGAGTGGGAATAGGAGCCCCTTCAGAGCAGAGAGAGGGTCCTGAACTCTGTTAAAATCAGCATGCTGTTTCCTACCTTGGGGCAGCACACAGCCCATTTTATCCTCTGAAGCACAAGAGAGCGGGTCAGGGATATAATTGAGCAAATGTCTCAGGTTCATTTTGCAGAAAATGAGGCTATTAGCCCTCAGCTGCTCTCTGAGAGGTTTTTGTTAAACATAACAATTCCTTTGAAAATGTTACAGTTCTCCTGATGGTCCCTCTGTGCCGACCACTTTCAACTGTAGAGGCAGGTGGGTGGCAGTGGCTGCCCGGGAGTGGACCTGGGAGTCATTGCTGATGGAAACATAACAACCTTCTTTCTCTAAACTGACAGACCCAGTCTCTTCAGTGGCACCTGTAAGGGCTTGGAAACCACCCATCACTCAACATGCATGCCTATATCTCAGTTCTAATGGACCCTTTAAATTTCTCTTCAAGGGAGTTATCACTTTGGCCTGACTAATCAAAAAGGTAGTACACGGTGGGACAGTACTACCTCGGTTTGAGTCATGCTTCCATCATTTAAGATCTCTGTGAAATCTCTTATCCTCAGTTTCATCACTTATGAAATGGGACTAATTACTGTTGCAAAGGACTGACTTGTACTTAATAAAGATTGATGGGCTATTTCATGTGCTTTGTAATAACATGGAAAGACTCCATTTTCATCAACTTATAATAATTTTATTCTATTCTTTGATTGATATTTACATTTGCATATATTTATAATAAGTCACAGTATGATGGTTTGATTCATGCCTGCACTGGGTAATGATCAACTCAGAATAATTAACAAATCCATCACTTTATAAACTTTCATCATTTCTCAGTGATAAGTATGTTCAAAGTCCTCTCCTCTAACTATTTTGAGATATATCATGTAGGTCCATAGAACACCACCTTTTCCCTACCTAATTATACAAGAATCTTATTTAAGAGGAATTTTCATATTGTTACTGTCATTAGTGGTATTTCACATATTGTTAGTGGTTTAAAAACTGCATTTTATCCTCTGATACTTTTTAAAAAGGAGAAGTACTATATTAGGAGGATCTAGGAAAGTAGATGCCTGGTTCAGCATAATGACACCGCCTCTGGTTTTATATTTATGAGACTGTCTAGCCCATCCAACAAAATGTCAGCACAGAGCTGGAGTAATCTAACAGGGTATGTTTATCTTTAGGGTGTTTGCAGTGGTGTGTAATAGCAAACTGTGATGGAAATTGGCTTAAATAGTAAGAAAGTGCATCTTACGAAGCTACAAGTCTGGAAGGAGGCTGGCTGGCCATGTTGAGAAGGAGCCATCATCCCCACGCCTGTGCGATGCTGTTCTCAGAATGATGTGCTGGCCTCCAGGCCCCTCTGGTCACCAAATGGCATGTTAGCAAGCCAGGTATCGGCTCCAAACATGAGCATGTCTACAAAAGCAAGATGGAGCATTTCTCCTCATGTGTCTTTTCTCTCAGGGTTTTATGGATGGCTACAAGAAATTGCTTGCAAACTTCTGAGCAGTTTCTACCATTTCCATTCACTTGACAGTTTCCTTAGCATGTAGATGGTCTCAAGAGTTGAGCACAGAATCATTCAACATCTTGCCAGCCTGGCACATGGGAATCCTCTCTCTCTTCTGCTTTTATCTCCCTCTGCATAGGCAATTACACATTTTCAGCTTTATTACCTGTGGAGCCTCATTCCTGTTTCCAATTTTTAAAAAAACAATCAGTCTGAATTATCTGTCACAAACAACAGAAAATGACTCTAGCTGATGCAGACAGGAGAAGGATTTATTTAAAATGCACTAACTAGTTCCAGGATTATTTTAAATTTTCTTTTGCTATGAAGGACATTATTGGGACAATTGGCAAATTCCAAATAAGGTCTGCAGATCCGGTAATAGTTTTGTATTCATTTTAATTTTATGATCCTGAAAATTGTATGTGATTATGTAAGGGAACCTTTTTAACGAACACACAGTGTTATAGGGAAAAGGCTTCACATCTGCAATTTTACCATTAAACAGTTTAGAAAATTTATACACACACTGAGGCAGTGGAGAGTAGAGAAGAACAAAAAGAAAGCAGTGTAGAATATCATTAGCATTAGGAATCTGGCCAAAGGGATTTCCAAGAAGTTTTAGAAATACTCATAAGCTTATGTGTGTTTAAATTACACACCCACAATGTTTAGTGATGCAAAGAAATGGAAGAGAAGATTACAGTGCCACACGGGTTCAAGTACTGACTTTGCTCTCTGAAGACAATGAGGAAGACACTCAGGGAATAGCTGGAGTAGACCACACTGCCAGTGAGCTGAGCTGAGAGACTTCAGGGTGGGAAGCAGTGCTGCAAATCCCAGCTAGGAGGGGGCCCCTCGTGGACAGTGCTGCCACCTTTGTGATGTGCCGGACATTGCATTTTCCTCGCTCCTGTGCCTGGCTCTGACATCACACCATCAGCACAGTTGCTGTCATTGTTCTAGATGATTGATCTATTTATAACCATCACCACAACCATCTCGATGACCTCTGCCCTTTTGGCTTTATCATATGCAGTTCAAAGTCCAGAGTGTGGAGAGCAGATTTACAAAGCTCAAGTTATGCGTCTGTATCTAGGTGTAAGATAGGCTGGTCCCCTGAGGTTGCAGTCTCTGGAGTGACACAAGAGTCCTGCAGTGGCTACCGAGGAGGATTCTCCAAGGAGGAATGGTTTCTACCCTTTTGTGTAGCCCACAGGTGTGACAAACTCCATTACAAGACGATCCACACAGTTCCTCCTTTCAGATGTCAAAATGTGCTCTGGGTGTTGCTCTGTTGAAGGCTGGAGTGAGGAAAAATGTGTTTCTCTCAACTTGAAAGGCATAAACTATTTACAGATGTTGGCTCTTGGCTGTCATATATCCTCAGAGTGAGGCTGATATGGAAGAAATTATCCTTGGTGGCGTTTAACCACCTCCTGGCATTGCATGGAAAAATGGAGTCCTTTGTTTTCAGTCCAATGGACTTTATCTGAAATATTCCTTATTCCACACATAAGTATCTTTCTTTGTTCTCCCTGCCGACTTTTTCACTGTTGAACTTTCCCCTCTTGAGTTTCCCTTTGTAAAAACTCTTGTGTTATTTTACATGAGTTTGACTTTTTTGCTGAAGAAGCTACTTGCTTCCTGTTTGTCAAAAGGAAACACCAGTCCCCAGCTCTGCGACAGATCTGGTTCATAGTAGGGATGCAAAGTACTTTTCCTTCTTACTCAAACCTTGTTTTACTATATAAGTATATTAAGTGCTGTGATATTGAGATATACTCTGGTTTAGTAGTGTAGAATTTGTGGTATAGAATTAGGAACATGTGTTGGGTTCTTGATAGCTTATTGGGAAAGCAAGCTTCATGTTTTAGTTAAGGAAAAACAGCAATGTCATACAATTCTTAAGAGCATAATATTTTACTTTTATGAATATTCCCTAAAAATGATTACAAGAAAAAAGCAATATTTGAAATATTGTACTGTAAAAGCTTTTGACGTTTGGTTAGCATTGTTGTGCTACTTAATTGTAGGATGTTTCCTCGGAGGAGGAAAGGAAATTTGAATGCTTCTTTTGGCTGTCAGATTGAGGATAAGCTTACCTGGCCTCTGGCAGTGCTAACCATCTTTCTGAGAAATATATGACTGAGGGAGAGGAATCGAGGGAAGGAAGAAGTCTCTACCCACACTCCTCAAGGAGTGACTCGGGGGACAGTCTGAATTACGGGACTTACCGCAGCAAGTAAACATTGCCTGAGTGGATTGCTGTGAAATGCTTTATCTGAAGATGACACTGGAAAACACTCATCAATTACGGAGTCCTTGTAAAGCACCAAGAGTACCCTCAAAGCTATTGTCCAGAAAATGTGAGTAAACTCTTCATCTCCCACCTCCTCTAACTACCCCTTCCTTCACAGGTGACCCTAAAAAGCTAAAGTCTTCAGCTATTTGCTACAAACTTGCCATGTAGTAGAACCACGTATCAGTTATTTAAAAATGCCCATTGCAGGACAGTGACTTTTGATTTTCTCAGAAATGATAAACACTGACATTTGTCTTTCTAAACCCACTGATTAATTCTGTGGTGTCCAGTTACAAGTGAAAGCACCAACCCTGGAATTTCTAGATGGCAGAATTACACTAGGGTAAAACAAAACTCCAGATGTTTTTCTAGAGTAACTGTGGAATATCTATTACAGGAAGTAAGGCAAAATGGCTAAATGTTTTAACATGGTGGAACCTGGTAGTCAAACGAACCCACATAAAAATAGTGAGGGTTGGGCTGGGGATTTAGCTCAGCTGCACAGTGCCTGCCTGGCAAGCGCAAGGTTGTGAGTTCAATTCCTGGAACCAGAAAAAAAAAAAAAGAAATAGCGAGGGTTGATGCTTCAAGTTCCTGAATGCCTACACAGTCCATAGAAGGGCTGCAGGATATTCAAGTCTATTTAAAGTGCAAGCGAGCATTTTTGGGTGTTTCCTTATGCACATTCACTTTTCTGGGGAAGTTTCACACTTTCTGTTGGAGTCTCGAGGGAATCAAAGACCTAGAAATTTTTGGAAATACTGCTGTATAATGAAGACACAAATTTCTCCCAATCACAAATGCCTCTACCCTTCGTGAAAGTCAGGACAAAGGACAGAACAGAGATAGCTTCTGGGAGGGTACGAGGAGAACTGCATAGTTACTGGGATGAGTCGAGAGAAGCAATTAAGAAACTGCTGCTGGAGGTTTCCCTTGAATACAATTTTAAACACTGAAAAATTGTTGATGCATCTTTTGAGCATTTTCTAAAAGCATCCGTGTAGTCCCAGGCAAAATTTTGTAATAAAATGATACATACAGCCTCAAGTATGTGGAGACCTAATTGGATCTGTTTCTTAAAGGAGTCGTGTACAGAACAGTTGATTAACTATAAATAACTTTTAAATGGCTTTCACTCACATCTCAAGAATGAAAGCATACCCCTGGCTTATCGTATTCCTCCTAGCTTCCTCCCAGCACCTCAGTCCCCTCATCTCACAGCTCTCCCAGAACCTGCCCCGTCGTTGGTCACCCCTGTATTCTCTGTCCTTGTGGAGGCTGCTTCTTTGCCTGTCTTTGGCTTTACTTTTGCACCCTGCTCTTCATGATGGAGATGACTCAGTGGTGTGGTTTAATCCTTCTTCCTGTCTTCTTTTTCTGCATCTGCCCCTCTCCATCTATTTTCCACTCTCTATGTTCAACAACTGGGCTAGAAAAGACTCCTTTTAAGGGGCAAGAGAGGTGTGGAAAGGGGAGAAACAGGGGCACACCATCCTAGATCTTGTTCTGGTTGCACACCGCGTAATGCTGATTACAAGAAATGAGGGACTTATTTCATTGCTTAATTTTTAAACCATTTCGTATGCCTACCAGGCAGTTTCCTGATTTGGAAAACCACAAAAGAAAATGGAAATGTTTAATGCTTCCCAGAATTCTGGTTTCTCAATGCAGTTTTCACTCATATAAAATCAGTTTTATTCCAGTGCCACTCAGAGAAAATGTGCAGATTGTGTCACCTGTGTGAGACATCACGCTACACACCGGCTACTTAGAGGTGAAGGGAAGGCCCACCTCGTTTCCAGGGAAGGACTCTGCAGGGATGGGGAGGTAAGCAGACGACCAGTGTGTGCAGATACATGCACCAGTGATGCTGTGTGTTCTGGGCTCTGCAAACTCAGTAGGAAGTGTCTGTGCGCCTGCAGCAGGAGAAGCTTTAGCTAATGTCTGGAAAATGAGTATTTAGCAAAGGTGAAGATGAGTCTACAAGGGGCGTGATGCACACAAATGAAGTCAGGAGAGAAAACAAGAAAGCATGAGAAGACGGGACTGGAAGAAAGGAAGGAAGCCAGTGTGACTAAAAAGGTGTCGTGAGTGTCCACGGGGAGAGACCGGCAGAGTTGGGCTTGCACGCAGACTGGGGGGCCAGGCACCTGTGTAGGTTGCAGAACGAACAGCTGAAATAGCTGTCCATTTTACTCCCTCTCCCTTCTTGAGAGCTCATCCATCAGTTGTGTAATCTAGAGGCAGTTGATGGCGAAATCATGATCCAGCTCCAACAGCTCTGTGTAAATAGTTATCAGATCTGGGAGTCCAGCTCTAAGGAAATGGGCCAAAAAACCAGCAAGGTGAAAGCACAAAACGGGAAAGGAAGGACCAAAAATTAGACTCTGCCTATAATGTGATCTATGGTGTAAACCTTGCTCACAATATGAGCATTGTGTTTATTATTTAGAAAACACTTCCCCATAGAAGAGGTATGGATAGAATACCTTCTCTTGTAAGTACATCTGAAATATAGAAGAAAAATGCTGTGACAACATTTGTTCCACTGTCCCTTCCCCATCCCATCGGGCTGTGTAATGTTTTTATTGAGATGGGAAGAAAGGTCTGAAACCCAATTTTAGGAGAGCATAGCTTTTAGGAAAGCAGTTGTTACCTTTCTCACGAAGTTATTGTCACTGGTAGTATCCCTCACTGGAAGCACCCGCTGTTTGGGACGGGAAATTTGCTTGGTATGTGTGTATTATTCATATTTACAGCCAGCCTGTTATAACAAGACTTTAGAGCTGCCACCTCATATTTACAGACATACAGCAATAGCAAGGGACAGAGGAATGGCGTTGGCATTTATTCCGTGGATATTTTTATAGCCCGTACTGTGAGTAGAGTCACTATTGAGTGACTCAGAGAGCTTACAGACGAGTTAGGGGAGGTGTGAACTGCACATACAGGAAGGTTAAATAAAAATAAAATCTAGATGACAAGAAATAACATAAACGAAAACATCTTCCGGCACCACAATTGATTATCGAATAAGTGGAAAGAAGCTGCCGACAGAACATCTCAGAACCTCGATTCCCACTTAGAAATGTGCACCCTGCATGCATGAGGCTGCGAGTCTCTCACAGCTAGCAAAGGCCTTCTACAGCGAGCATGGGGGAGGAAAGGAGGACCCAGGGAGACAAGAGCACAAGCGCCACAAGTGCAGGAAGCAGGCTGACTCCCCAGGGCGTGTGTAATGTACCTGGAGAAGCACAATAAACGTGTGCTCAGTTGGCGAATAGGTGGCTTCTCGAAGGGGGACCCGGACTCCCAGGACTGGACAAGCACTGTGATGGCCTCTCAGACGCTGCAGCATCCTTTCTTCCTTTTGTGCTAGGCACAGGCACATAATAGGTGGTCAGTAAACGAGCAGGGAAAGAAGAAAAGAATTAGTTCAAGCCCTAGGATTATAGAACTGGAAGGAAATGTGTGGGATCATCAGCCATTCTTCAGTCCTCAAGAAAAGGGTGTCAACACGTTTAACAGAAAGAACAGATGGGCCAGAATCTGAGGGAGGAATTTGAATGGAATTTGATGTAAATCCTGCCTTTATCAGTTTCTTCTCTGTGGCCTTTAGAAGCTGGTTTGTTAGTTGGGCCTCAGTTTTTTCATCTCTTTAAGGGGAATAAGAAATTATTGTGGTACAGAATATTCATAAAATTATAATAAGATGGTTTATTAAATCATTTAATAGCTCAATATGTATTTTTATAAGAAGAAAATTCCTAAGATATGTTGAGCTGCTGTGTATTTTTCTGGAGTCTTTTAAAAGGAGAAATACTAACTAAACTTAATGAGGATCTGTTTTTAAAGTTTTTTCTCTTTATTTTGAGACAAGGTCTTGCTATATAGTTCAGGCTGGCCTTGAAATCACTATGTAGCCCTGGCTAGCCTCAAACTCATGGCCATCCTTCTGCCTCAGCCTCGTGAGTACTGGGATTATGGTGTGTACCACCACAGCCGATGATCTTTCTATAAAATTTAACTCATGGAAAACCCTAGTGCTTTTTGTTGGTGTCATGCCTGAAGAATTTTACACACTAGAGAAAATGCTCCAAAAAATAATATAACATGATAGTGTGGATTGTCTGACAGGAGGCTCTCTTGCTGTGTAACAAAAATTCTTCAATATTCAATGAAAAACTTTAACAACTTAAGGTTTGAGAGATGTCAAGAATATTAATTGGGAGTATAAATTGGGAATGGTAGGACTTTGGCTGTCACCTCAAAAGACAAGTACTCCTTCCTAGTTCATATTACCAGGCAAGGCTTTGAAAGAGTGGGTCCAACTGCTATAACAGATGATAATGGTTATGGCAAAAAGTGTGGGTGCTAGTGTCTAGTGTTGATGTGCTGCCGCTGTCCAAGTTCCAGGATAGATCCTCAGGAGTCAGCAGTGGGAGGAATTGCGTAGGCTGTCAGAACTAATAGTCCCAGAGTCTGGGAAGTACGAGAAGGGTGACTTCCAAAACTACAGAGGTGAGAGCTGGGCAGGGAGATATGTAAAGCTGTAGAAATATTAAGCAAACGGAAGCAGTTCTTTTCATTTCTTATATTTTGCACAGTGCCAGCTCTGGGCTTGGGGACAAATCCGCTGACAAGTGATTAATATCAGGGAGAACCACCCAAATCCAGAGACATACATAATTTTTCCTCTGCCTATTTTTGGTTGACAGCCACTTGGATAAGACACAGTCACTTGGATGAGACGTGCCAACAGGGTCAAGTGTGGTCATGGCAAAAATCGAGTTCCAGTTTATCCTTGCCACTGGTGTGCTCTGTCACTTAAAGTATCCTGAAAGGAGAGATGGTTTGCTTTCTGGTCACTCTCTTTGTGAACGAGGAGTGGCAATTTCTTCTTTTCTCCCCATTTACGCAATTCAGTCAAGTTCCATAACGGAATATCTGGGCTTTTTTTCCTCAGATCTGCCTCCACCTACACTGACCTTAAATGACCCCAGTACTTCACTAAAATCAGAAACACAGAATCAGAAAAAAGTATGCATTCCTGGTGAGGTCCTTTACAATGAACTAATCATCTACCCACGCCCTATTCTGCAGATGAAAAAGATGAAACTTTGGGAGGAAATGAAATCATGTGACCGACCTGCAAGGAGAACCCGGACCAGAACCCTAAACTCTTGACAGCTGGGCCAAAGCATTCTCCAGCATTCACTGCTTGAGAAGCAGGATGCTCTGAGAAGCAGAAAAGAAGCAAACTCGGAAAAACCTACAAGAAGGAAGTCTGAGCCACAAGTACCCGCAAAGATAACACAATCTTAAAAGGGCAAGTGAATTTGATGTGCACGCGTATAACGTGAAAATAAGGCAGACCTGCTAATGTTTAAGTGATACTGAGCAGTGGCCAGTGCTGGCCCTCCAAGAAGAGGGAGGAGGCATGAAGCAAAGCTTTCTTTGTCCTGAAGTTTCTTGTGCTGGAAATCTAACGTTTACCTGGGGCAGAGGAAGTCTGTTTGGTCCCCCCTCTTGCATGGACTGGGTCCCTCAGGGAGCAGACACAGGTACCACTGTGGGGAGCAGGAGAGCTGGGCCCAAAGATTCTGTCCCGTCTACACACGGCTTCTCCAGTGTGAAAGGGGAAAGCTGTGGACCTAAAAGGAAAATGGCGAGTTTAATTTGTGCCTATCGAGATTTGCTGCAGATTTGATCTATTTGAGAGTGGTTCGGGGTTCCTTAGGACTGATGGACCCCTGAGACCCTCTGGTTGTGGAGCCTTTTAGGTCAACAGCCAACAGGTCAACCACTTTCTCAGTGGGTCTGTTCGATCCAGATGGTTAAGTGGTAGGATAGGATGAACATAGTCATCAGGTCTCCTCATCTATAGATTCAGGGCAATGCCAGCTACAGGGTTATGGTGTTTGATGCACTGACTCACCCCAAACACCCATAGAACAATTTTTAAAGATGAAACAGTAGAACTTGGCAGCAATCCAGTACTGAATGAGGAAGATCACTGGGCTGGGTGGACTCCAGACTAGACAAATAATGAGGAAACACACTTCCAAATAGCTCTCAAGACCTCTAGCTCCAGGCACAGACTACCTGCTTCAAACCCTGTATAACCCTTACTGGGTTCTTGAACACATTACATAAGCTCTCTGTGCATCGATTTTCCCATCTGTAAGGTAACAATTCCTCTCTCACATGAGGATTAAATTAGAAAATATTTATTAAGGAGCTAGAAGGGGGTGTAGCAGAACTTAAATATTAATTAGATATAATTAACATGATGTAAGTATAGAGAACCCATTGATAGCAGGTGAGAATGAGTGGACATGGCGGACTCTTTAAATATAAACACAGCAATCTGCAAGTACAACATAAGATTGTTAATGGTGCTAGAAATAGTAATAAAAGCAATGATTGAGGAAATAGGAGCAAGCAATTTTTCTCTGTAATTTAGCCTCCCACCGAGAGTGAGCACCAGGTAGCAATCATCTGGCAACTTTGCATCAAGCAGACCAGGCCTTGGGGCTTAGGGAGAGGGAGCTGACTCATTGGCCCAGCGCCTACAAGGAAACAACTAGCCGCACAGCATTGAGCTCCTACCCTAAGCTCAGCAATGAATGAAGCACAGATAAAATGTTTCCTGTCACCAACAGGAAGCATGATGGGAAAGAAATACATAAACTGCCGCTATCACCATCAGAATAAGAACCCCACTACCTTCCCAGAGAGACCCACCCTGGACTCTAAGCACACCCTCCTCCACCATTTCAATCCTCCTTCCTCTCTTTCTGCCTAGTTAGGTGTTTTTATTGTATATCCTCAAAACTCCATGTCCGTATCCTTAATGTATAAATCCTGTTGTGCAATTTTGAGTTTAATACCTGTCCCACTTCGTCAGACAGTAACTTTCTAAACCCAAGACTGTCTGTCTTGCTAAATCCCTAACACTCGGTTTCATTCCAAGCATGAAAAGCACTCCATAACTACCGCTGAAAGAATGACCGTGGTGGGTTCTGTCTGACGGAACTGAGGACAGGCACACACGGAAAGAACCGGGCTTTGAAGGGAGGTCAGGAGTTCAATGGGAAAGGCATATTTGATCATTTGAAACAAGTGGTGCCCACCCAAGTGACTGACCTACCTGATTTGCTCCTATCACCAGACATTTTGCTTACCTGAAAGGGGTCATCACAGGCATCACCATTTGGACATTTCGGAGAGATGTTTGCTCAGGAAGAACAGCAGAGTCCTATCACTGGCCTGGGTCCTGAGTTTAAGCTCTACTTCTGCCCATTAGGAGCTTTGCTCAAGTTGCCTCACTCCCCTGAGCCTCAGCTCCCGCTTCTATGGGTGGAAGCAGTAAGGTTCACCCTCACTGAGCCATTAGGAGATTTGAGCTGTACATACGGGGGAACCCCCTGCACGCTGCAAACATTAATGAGAGCTGCGGATTGGCATCCTTGGCTGCAACAGAATTTGCCAGACTGATAACCATCATGATACAAGCAGCACTTAAAACTGCCCATCGTCAAAGGAGCCCCCTTGGGAGACCCCAGGGTACCCAGAGTGTTTTCTGAATCCAGTTTTGCCATTAAAGAGAACCGGCACATCAGTGAAACAGAACTTTGTCAGCATTTGTTCCCTCTGACTCTGGACCAGGTCTGTTGCCTGAATTTTATGTTAAGTAATAAAAACACTGCCATTAAATGCACTGCCACGAGTCAAAAACCTACTCGGGGTAAGATATGGCACAGCGGTCCCCAAGAAATGTGTTTTTTAAAATGTGCTTAAAACTACTAATACTTTCTGTAGCTGCTTTGCAAAACCACCAGAGCTGAAGTATTTGTATTTTAATGTTTATCCCCAAACTGGCCTGCTGTTTTCAAATTGCCCAGGAAATGCAATGTGGAAAATGGAAGGAAACCAGGAAAAGCTAGATTTAAAAATGCAGCGTTAGTAAAGCAAGCTGTGGGGTTCTGATACCTGAACAGCACCATAAAACACTCATAATTAAATAACTATTCTTAACACAACTATTCCTATTTTCCCCCCAGCCACTTAGGTGAAAGCATTTAATGTTCATTCTTTCATTACCAACCAGAGACTCTTGTAAAGAGGTAACTGGTTCCAGAAATTGTTAAAAATGTTTTAATAATGGTGTCCTCTACAAAGGGGAAAAATGTATTAGAAAACAAAATCAGGTTTTAACTTCTTCCTGCGGTTATTTTTATTGGCAGTTGGCCCTCAGAGAATGATTTATATGGGGGAATGTCGTACTGCAGAGCTGCGACACCAGTAGCCTCAGTGCAAGAGTATTAACAAAATGCATCCTAGTTATCAATGTCCCAGACACAATGGCAGAGTGCGAGGGTGATAACAGATGCAAGAAGGGAGATGTGTGCCGGAAAACAGAAGAATGGAGCAGCCAGACCTCCAAGTCATTTAGGAGGAAGGAGAGGAATGGTGCTCAACTCCAGCTAAGACTTACAGTGCTGTTCCCACACACTAGCACGATTCAAACAGTATTCTGCAAGTCCCACACCAGCCTCGTTTGAGGACGGGGTAGCTGAGGCTGAGATAGTTTGAGGAAGTAGTGCAAGGTTGGAAAGGTAGCTGCAGACATACTATTATGTCTCGTTCCAGGATGACTCTTGATTCCTTCTGCCCCTACTATTCAATGAACACCATCAAAGAAAAAGGTTCAGTTATCAAGGCTAAAAAGAAATGAGGCAATGTTCAGAGCCTGCCAGAATCCAAAGGAAGGGGAAAATGCTGTGGAATTTCTCAGAATATGGTGCTGAGAAATTGGTTTCAGAATCACTCCTAAAAGCTTGTTCAAAAAGAATCACAAGTCTTCCCCCTTTAGATTATAGAATCCAAATCCTTAGGTGTGGGGCTCAAAGATACAAGGATGTGCATTTTTCCTGAAGAATTTAAAGCAATTGTTTTACACACTTAGGGACCAAACACAGCCACCAAGTATTACATACTACTTTATTCTCCAGGCTTAACTTGATGAGAGAAGTCTCTGAAACACGACCTCCCATGGCACAATTCCTTCGTGGGGCACACTTTGAGTAACACTTGTGTATGTTTATACAGTTGTGATCCTCCTAAACTCATCCATTTTGTGAATAGAGGAGTCCTAGGAACATGAGTTTGAGATTGGTGTAAATCTCTCTTCCATGATATAATAAACAGTCACACAAGTTATTTGTCCAGATTCTTATTTTGTGCACAATGATAAATGTGTTTTCAGCTCACAATCTACTCAGAAAATGATTTCCCCCCTCAAGAATGGTGTATTAGATATCTACTGCTCTGTAACAAGTCACTCCAAAGCTTAATGTCTTAAAACAACAACAACATGGGCCGGGGATATACCTCAGTGACATGGCACCTGCCTGGCAGACATGAGGTCCTGAGCTCAATTCCCGGTACCAAAAAAACCCAAAACAACAACACCAAAGTGGACATGAAAGTCACTATGTTCAATGAAAAATCAACTTTTTGATTTTTGAAGATCATATGTTGCATGATTCCATTCATATAACATTTTTGAAATAATAAAATCCTAGAGGTGGAGAACATATAGTGGTTTCCAGGGAGGAGCGATGGTATTCATGATGGCTATAACTCAGTAGGGTGGCATGAGAGGTGATAATAGAAGAATTTCATATTATAATGCCCTGCTGAGTATACAAATCTACACACTATGTGAAATGGCACTGCACCACCCCCCATACACAAGACGCCTGGTTTGGCTCTTGGTTATGACATTGTATGGCAAAATGTTCTTCCTGTTCTGTGAATTGTCTCTTCGCTCTATTGGTGGTTTATTTTGCTGTGCAAACTTCAGAAGAAACTGATTGATGTGTATAGGAAGTTTCTCTCTATTTCTGAAACTTCCTATTAATCTATAATTATTTCAAAATGCAAAGTAAATAAAACAAACCAATTATTACATCACAGTTCCTGTAGATCAGAAATAGAGCAACAGGTGTCCCTGGCTTAGGGTCTCTCAAGAGGCTTCAGCAAAGCTGAAGATGGAGCTGTGGTCTCAGCTGAAGGCTCACTGTGAAGATGATCTGCTTCTCTGTGCATTCCTGGCAGGACTGCGCGTCTCCTGATTGCTGACTAGAGCTCTTCCTCAGTTTCTCCCTGGGCACCTCCACAAATCAGTTCACAACCTGGCAGCTGGTTGGGTTTACTTAAAAAGAGGAAGTGATAGCGGGCACACATCTCAGACGGGCAGCCACAGTCTTATTTTAGAACTTCAACTTGGAGCTGGGAACCTGTCATTTCTATTATGTTCTTTTCACCACCAAGCCTGGCCATCTCCAAAGAAGAGGGAATAGCACAAGGGTGCAAACATCAGGAGCCAGGCATGCCTGTATCGTGCAGAGGAAAACAGATGACAGCTTCTGTACATTAGACTGTCCCTCAGCTGTGGAAACCTCACTATGCATCACACTCTGCCCAGAAACAAGTATTGAATACAGCAGAGATGGATGGTGGTTGTATGATCATTGGCACAATGCGCTGTCAAAGTCTGAGTGTCT